CAATCTGTTGGAACAGCCTCACCTTCCCTGCTGAATGCAGCAGCGCTGCTGTCTCAGAGACAAGGGCTTGTGCTAACGTGATACCCAAGAACTGAATTCATATTGTAGGTGGGTGTAATGTTTTATAAGTCACTGGGAGGGAAGCGTGGCTGCTGCGTGGAGTTGCAAGATGGAGCTTTCCCTGAGTCGTTGTGGAACTGGGTCCACAATTGGTCTGCAAAGAATCAGTGGATAGGAGCCTGTGGAAAGAGATCACCCTATCTTTAAAACCTTGTGTTTCCTTTTCATTGCCCTTTTCCCTCTTGTTCGATCGCGGGAATAGAGACTCGAGACCAGTGTGACTTTTTCAGCTCTTTATTTTTTGTATAGGTCTGTGCTAGACCTCGGAGCCGCGGCAGCCCTTCTTATGGGGATTCACTGCGGCTCGCCAGCCAATGACAGTTCTTTGGATCTCCTGCGATCGGACCGGTCAATCGCAGGCGATTCTCGGTGACCAATCCGGACAGGTCTTTTCCACCAATTGCTGCACAGTCTCCCTGGGCCAATCAGAGAGGGGGTCCTCCAAGTATGTTAATATGGAACACCTCTCTTCGTCCTTTTACTTCTTTCTGCCTTTTCTTTCTTCTTTCCCCTCACAGCAAAGGTTGGTCTCCATCCACCATCTCAGCTGCTTCAAACTCTGCCTGAAGAAGACTCTTTTAACTGATAAGATGCCCCTAGCTAAATATGCACTCTGCACCTTCTCAGAGACCTCTGATGCTACAAAGGTCAGCTTTAGAACAAAGTACCGTATACCAATGATTTGTATGTTCTGACTTGCTTTCTCATTTCTCATTTACTTCTCTCTCTCCATCTTTCTCTCACATGAACTCAGTCTCTCTCTTTCTCTTTCTCTCTCTCTCTCTCTCTCTCTCTCTCTCTCTCTCTCTCTCTCTCTAATTTCTTCTCTTCTTTCTACATTCACCTCTCCATCCTGTACATAACTTACACTGTAATTTCAATAATGGCTCCAATAAATCATGGAAGATGACAGAGCATGATTCAATCAGAATGGTTTTTAAAAAGGCAGTGCTTCCTTCCTTATCAGAGGAAATTATCCTCCTTGATAGAGTCAGAAAACGAACTCTCAGTTGATTTCAATAGTTCATTCCACTTTTACACTGGGCCTCTTCCACTTTACAGTGTTGCTGGTGTTTTGTGAAAAATTAAAAAAAAACAGGAAAATGTCTCAGCATCATCTTCTTTTTAAAGAAAAGATTTTATTTCAGAATAATCAATGGATTGCCAATATTTGAAAACACGTTCCTTTATCGGATCACAAATATGTTTGGTCCCCTTCTGGGCCATATCTCCAATGTCATGTGCACCAGATTTAATGAGGCCAAAGATAGGCTGTTGGATGCATATTAATGCTGTTCAAAACCTTAAGGCTTCAGAATAGATTCAGGAAAGTTGTTTTGTTTAAATAGCCCCCAACTATCAGGTGGGATTCAATTTTTTTTACTACAGGTTCTGTGGGCGTGGCTTGGTGAGCGTGGCAGGGGAAGGATACTATAAAATCTCCAGTCAGAGGTGGTATTTGCTGGTTCTCCAAACTACTCAAAATTTCCACTACCGGTTCTCCAGAACTGGCCAGAACCTGCTGAATACCACCTCTGTGAAATATGCTAAAAATAAATTTCTGGAAGCATGTTCAGAAGATAGCCATGAAATCTTGAGCAATGTTTTGAAGAGTTTATATGCTTAAATGTCCTTCTCTGAATTATTTCCATAGCCCTGATGCTCATTGTCCCAAGAAAACCTCTGTTGCTGCATTCGCAGCATCTTAGGGACACCAGAGGCTGAGAGAGGAGGCAAAGCTGCATTTGACTTCATTATGTTTGATCTGAATTCTTAACAAACTCTTGAAACTAAACTTCTGTAAAGGTAAGCAAAAGGTTTTCCCAGTCAAATCATGTCCAACTCTAGAGGGCGGTGCTCATCTCCATTTCTTGGCAGAGAGAACCAGCATTGTCCAGAAACCATTCCATGGTCATGTGGCCAGCATGACTGTACGCCGAGATGCACTCACTGGAGTGGTACCTATTTATCTAATTGCTTTTGCAGGCTTTCGAATTGCTAGGTGGGCTGGAACTGAGGCAAGAACAGGAGCTCCCCCCCATCATGTGGTGCTTGGGTCTTGAACTACCAACCTTCTGGTCGACAGGCCCAGCCCAACCACCATGCTGATCCTAAAACAAAACAAAGTTCCTGCCCTAAACTTGAAGTGGGAGAGATCATTCATTCATAGATAAACATCCTAACCAGGGACCATAGATAACTGTGTGAGAAGCTTCCTGTATCCAGGCATTTTTATAGCATCCTCACTTTCAGTGGGCAGAAGCAATAGCCAAGTCTTATCTTCTACCTCATGGAAGATGTCAAGCCTACTGTATCAACATATCATATCATATGTATCAGAAACACGACTTCAGCAACAGAGTGGTCAATGTCTGGAATACTCTACCTGACTCTGTGGTTTTTTTCCTCAAACCCCAAAAACTTTAACCTTAGACTGTCTACTATTGACCTCACCCCTTTCCTAAGAGGCCTATAGGGAGCGTGCATAAGCACACCAACATGCCTACCGTCCCTGTCCTATTGTTTCTTTTTTTTCTTATTCATATCCATTTCATGTATTCATAACCATGTTTATATCTATACCTGTTATCTAATAATCGCTTGACAAAATAAAATAAATAAAGCAGAGGCAGCCATGCGCGTATAAATTCTCCTTCAGTAGAAATAAACTGTTGCTGTTTCATAACTGAATAGGACTAGAGAACTACACGTACTTGCTTGAAATCAAGAACCATTGACTTCAAAGGGACTTCTCTAAAGTAAGATCATATATAGACCTGGCCATTTTATAGCTTGTGGGCCAGTGGTGGGATTCAAACAATTTTACTACCGGTTCTGTGAGCGTAGCTTAGTGGGCGTGGCAGGGGAAGGATACTGTAAAATCTCCAGTCAAAGGTGGTATTTGCCGGTTCTCTCAACTACTCAAAATTTCCGCTACCGGTTCTCCAGAACTGGTCAGAACCTGCTGTATACCTCTGCTATGGGCCACATTTAGCCCCGTGCCTGTCCCTGTCCATCCTGCAGCGTCGGTTTGGAATTGGCAGGGGGCTGGGAGCAGTGGGTGGCATGGGCAATGGAGCAGTGGTGGGATTCAATTTTTTTTATTACCGGTTCTGTGGGTGTGGCTTGGTGAGTGTGGCAGGGGAAGGATACTGTAAAATCTCCAGTCAGAGGTGGCATTTGCCAGTTCTCCAAACTATACAAAATTTCCGCTACCGGTTCTGAACTGGTCAGAACCTGCTGAATACCACCTCTGCAATGGGGGCAGGGTAGTTGGGGGCTCAGGCAGGGAGTGGGACAGGGATGGTGGGTGGGTAAGGGAAAGAGCATGGTGGCAGGCCCTCCACAACAGCTCCCATTTTTCATGTGACCCCTGAGGAAAATTATTTGCCCAGTCCTGCTTATATAGATTTAGGTGTGCTGATTGATTATGGGCCATTCAGTCAGTGTTGACTCTTAGTAATTGCATAGGTTTTCTCCAAAGTGATCTATTTATTCTTTTAATAATATTCAAAGCCACCCATGTCATGTTACAAAACAGGGGCAAATCTTTTGATTTAATTAATTCATTAAACATATAAAGTGCAAAGTGGCACTCAATGAACAAAAAAGTAGACTGTGGACCTGCGGGAATATGCTAGGAAGAAGGAGGAGGAGGAGGAGGAGGAGGAGGAGGAGGAGGAGGAGGAGGAGGAGGAGGAGGAGGTGGAGGAGGAGGAGGAGGAGGAGGAGGAGGAGGAGGAGGAGGAGGAGGAAAAGAGAAGATGATTAAACATATAAAGTTGCTGCCTCTGGCTATTCCTTCGGTGCCAGAAAACAGCAGTGAAATCAGCAGAAGTAAATTATTGGCAGTTTCCTGATGAGGCCATCCAATAATAATAACTCCTGGTTTGGTCAGAGCTCTCAAATCATTGGAGCTTGACTCCACTTTCCATCCATGTTGAGCTACGACCTCAGCTCTTGGGATCAGGACAATTTGCCGTCAGAGGAGGACAAAATGGTGGCCCCTCCACCATTCTAGGCATTTTGCTTTGAGAGCACTGAGGAGACACCATCTCAGGCCAGTTCTCAGGATGACTCAAAGTTTATTCTCTGCCAAAAGTACATTCCCAAGAGCCTCACCAAAGGAGCCAGGGGGCTGCTGCCCTTTTCCAGCCACCACTAGCACCTGCTGCCTAATGGTCACTCTACTACGTGGCCAGCCTGCTTGTGCTGCGCAGGCAGAACCGGCCGTGGACTCAAAGCTGCAACCTCCAGAGGAGGAAAGCTGTGGGCGTAACTCTTATTAATGTCCGTGTGCAGCACCTTATTTCCACGCTGACCTTAGCGCACGTGCCAGAGGTCCATTAAACTGCTGATTAAATAGATCAACAAGTGCTTTGGCAATAATTTGATATTTAATGTTCAGCTTGCTATTAAAATGCTAATTAAATGTTTTAACATGCCACACATGTTTTATGTATTAATAAGCAATAAGCATTCAACTTACACTTCTTGTGTGATTTAGAATTAATTGAAGGGTAGTGAGGGTTCCTCCGTTATATACCTATTAAACCCCTGTAACTGCTGTTTTTACAGTTGATTGGTGTTCATTTAACATACCATAATTGCTCTTTAAATACGTTAAGTGCGTCTTTGAGACAATTTACAGTGTAGCAGTTTCCCAGCAGTATTCCTCAGAGGTATATGCAAAGTGGCTTCTGTGCTGGAATTCTCCCCGAAATGCGTGGCAGAAACCCTCCTCCCACTTTGCATTGTGAGTGAAGTGAGAGGGCGGAGTGGGCGAAGGGGGCAGACTCTGTCTGTGCAAGCTGAGAATCTCAAGAGGAGAAACTGGTTCCCTGGGTGCTAAAACAATGCATCACACCTCCCATAGGCTGGGGGGGAACTAGAGGAGGAGGGGGAAGGGTGGCGGCTAATAGAGATGTTTTGCTGGCAAGCCAATTAGACGGCATGAGATAATGAAGGCATCTGTAAGTATTCTGTGCTCTTTGGGCAAAGCTGTGTCTGCTCGTCGTCTATGCTAATCTTGCCAAATCTTGAGAATGCCATCATTGCAACAGCCGGGAACTGTTGTCTAACTTGGCTGCTTCTGTTGTTCTTTTATTATTATTGACTTTCCCAAAGGAGGGGAGCACAGAACCAGGTTCATTTCAAATGTCTCCATCAGGCTGACAGTGCTGGACTCTTTCTTGGTGGGGTTTTTTTTTGGGGGGGGGGGGCAGGAAGGGTGGATTCTTTAATTAATGTTTGCTTGAGTTTTTAATTGCCTTTGTAGTCTTAGCAAAACAACATTTCTTTAGCAATGGAACAGTGTGCGGTGTTTGTAATCGTGGTGTCGCTTTGGAACGATGCCTTTGCATATGGTAAGGGGGCAAATTTATGTCAGTCGTAGATCCTTTCCCTTCCTCTGGTCTAAAACAGTAATAGATTTGGCTTGTGGTTGTGTTACGTTCAATGGGAGTTCAAAATATCCAAAGGTTTAATGGTATGTGGGGAAGACCTTGGGGGACAAGGAGAGGAGCCACAGCCAGGAGAATGGATTGGATAAGAGGCAGCTTAGCCCACAGAAGGAACGTGGGCATGGCAACATCTCAATATCTCCCTTGTTTCTTGAGCTATAAAGATGATGGGAGTGAAATGTACTTTCAGACTTGCAAGATTCTGTTAATGTAGCCTTAAATAAAGGTTACATTAATAAAGTAGAAATAGTTCATGTTAATGTGCTCCTTGTCTGGACTGTTTCCCAAGGTTGATGCAATGGTATGTGAGAAAAAGCTTGGGAGATGTGGGGCAAAGACACACTGCCTAGGGAGCAGTCAGATAAGAGACAGCATCGCCCACAACTGGATAGCGGGTAGAGACTTGGAAGGGACTCTCCTTGGGCTGTGAAGGAGATGGTGGGAAATTTGTTTTTTCAGACTTGTAAGATACTGTTAATATAGCTTTATAATAATGTAGAATTAGCTTATCAATTACGTTTCCTGTCTGGTCTACCTCAGAAAGCTTACTGCTGACGATAGGATTTCTGTGTTCCAAAATCAAAGTATCAGTTGTGTTCAAAGCAAATAAGTAGCAATAGCAATAACATTCAGACTTATATACTGCTTCAGTGCTTTACATCCCTCTCTAAGCAGTTTGCAGAGTCAGCCTATTGCCCCCAACAATGTTGGGTCCTCATTTTACGGACCTCAGAAGGATGGAAGGCTGAGTCAACCTTGAGCGTGGTGGGATTTGAACTGCCAAATTGCAGTCAGCCCGACAGTCAGCAAAAGTAGCCTGCAGTACTGCACTTTAACCACTGCGCCACCCTGGCTCATTAATAAGTAGGTCATGCACACCAGTGACAGGTGAGCCACACGGGGAGTTTTGAAATGGCTGTGTTGCACCATGCCTGGTTGAACAAGACACTAAGATATAAATTGTGGGTTTATGAATAGCAATAACTGGAATCACTCCATATCTTGCTAGTCACCAAGAAGCAATTCACATTTTGGCTTAGTACCTGGTTGTTTTCTCATGGTTAGAATACGTATTTTGTTTATTCATTTACTAGATTTATACCCCATTTTTCATTCAGGAGCTCAAAATATTCTTTCGTGAGATTGAGAACAAATGGGTCAAAGTCACTCAGGATGCTTCCATGGCTGAGGGGTGATCCTAGACCAATAATGAAAGTTCAGCATTCTTGCCGATTGATTTCAAATCGCCCAATTCTGCCAATGATATTTTTTTTCTCTCTGCTATGCTGCTCCCCACTAGTACTGGCTTCTTGTTAGTTCAAAGATCAAAAGAAACAGATCACGGTCTCTGACTATGGCATTCAATTTCAAAGAGTCTAATTCCTCTTTTTTTTTTCCATTGTGCTACTAAAACACGATCTATAAAGCTTGATACAATAAATTATTTCAGTACAATTATATTTAAATGCTTAAATTCTTAACATTCAACTGTTTAGGCCCCGTAGAGCAGTGATCCCCAACCTTTTTTACGCCGCGGCCCGGTATCCCCAACCTTTTTTATGGCGCGGCCCGGTACCGACATCATCTGGGCGCCGCCATCTTGTTTTGATGAAAAAGTG